TATATATTTATGTATACGAGGGTGCGTGCGTGTTATAAAAACCATATATATTGTATAATAGTTTTCGTTGGTGAGGTCGCGAAATTGCTTTCAATTAATCGATTGACATTTCTCATTATGGTATAATTTTCTACAAATATTAATACTCTATATCGATCACGATTCTAAGAGATGTTTGAAGATTAGGAAATTTACATGAAATTATTCCAATTAGATTCGATACATTTTTTAAATAAAATCTTACACATTTATTGACTTGCTTTTAAAAGTTAAGGATAGAATTCTCGGAAATTCTGTTAAACTTCAAGGTGTCAGACGAGAAAACTATTACTATCCAGAAGCGATTTAATAAGAGGTTACTTTGATGTGCGAACTCAATCGAAACGCGCAAAAGCAATACCGTGAGTGAAATTGCTCGGACAGCGTGATGGAATACGACGATATGTAGTGCATTGAAAGAAAGAAAGAGCATGATAGTCGGCACAAGATGTAAGTCATGAGGAAAATATAAACAGATATATAAATAGAACAAAAATATATAAAAAGTATTATATATATATTTTTATAAATCATTGTGTCTTCTCCTAATCCGAATCATTTCTCAAGAAATCTAGCGATTTGTTCCCGATATTCCGAATTTTTCTAAAAGAGTAACAGTACAATCTGTGATTTTTTCGGATTGAAGAGCACAGAAAAAACAGTATCCTTGAAAGAATGCAAATATGCCTTGATTCAAGTATATTTTATCCTTATAATAGCGCTAAATATAAATAATTTTGGATAAAGGATAATTTATCCTTAAAACCAAGTGCAAAATATTCTTGGTTGAAGCTGAAATTTACTTATAAATATTGCGAGGACAAGTGACAAGTGAGCATTGGATATAAGCGGTACTTTCAAGTATATATAATAATTCTTAGTTCAAATGTGACTAAGTTTGTTTTTACCATATGCGATTTTTCAAACAAGAATATATCTTAAGGATAAAATATACTTCACACAAACTTATTTATTATTAAGGCAAATGAAAATTTGTGATTACAAAGAGCATTCTATGCTTAAATCAATCAAATAGCGTTCGAGAATAAAAATATACTTGAATCAAGGATTCCTTTTTTTCTGTGTATTTTTATAAGTCATTGTGTCTTCTCCTAATCCGAATAATCATTTCTCAAGAAATCTATCGATTTTTTCCCGATATTCCGAATTTTTTCTAAAAGAGTAACAGTACAATCTGTGATTTTTTCGGATTGAAGAGCGATACGGGGCGCGAAGGACACGGTTGCTTACAAAGTTGGCGGCCAGTAGTGAGGGTCAATAGAAAATCCGGCGCGAGTTGAAGTCGTGACGGAAATCGGTAAGAAATCGGCTTAAAGCCCTGCGAAGGCAAAGTAAGTAGAGTAGCAGCGGTATAGAGTAAGGGTGAAAAAGTAGAGAAGAAGGTGACACGCGGAGAAGGTAGCTCGAGAAGAAAAGAAGAAGGGATAGAAGCGGAAGGTCCGAGCGGGGGCAGCTAGGCGGCAGCTCTAACAAGTGGCTGCAGCTCGTAACGATCGCCCTCTGTGTCATGCACCAGCCAAGCCACTCGTACGCCCTCCTAACCCAAGGGGGTTAACCAAGACACATACACAGAGATTTCCGTGTGCACGTATGCACACGCCGCCAGAAATATCGATAAACACGACACGAAGGTCGACCACGAGCGGGCGATCGGCACCCCTCTTCCACACTCTCGAAATAACTTGCGTCAATTTCCTTTTCGTTCTTCTTTTTTACTCCAGTCTCGCGTTCCCGTTTTATCGATGATAATTATCGCGAGTCAGGCGATTCGAGATCGATGCGCGAAACTATATCGACTCCATCTCCCTTTATTCTCTCTCTCTCTGTCTTTCTTTGCGGTCTTTTTTTTTAGCAGCACTATCGACTTTAAACTAGTTGGCTGGAAATTGGTATGTGGGGTGTCGGATCAACGACTACTGGTTTAAATTAAGTTGGAACTTTGCGGAGAAACGAGGAAAAAAAAAGAGAATTCCTTCGGTCTAGCTTGGCGTTTCGTTTATTTTCTCGCGTGCCACGGATATAACAATTTCTTTGGACACGGAGAGATCGAAGAACTCGACTTCCTCCTTCCTCTCCACCTTTCCTCTTCCCTCCCCGAGATTGCTTGAGAGACAGAGTCGATTCGACGGAAATCGGCTTGCGCAATCCCTTTTTTTTTTTTTTTAGATACGGTCGGCTTTGATGACGCGGTAAAAGTGTGAATTAGATCGACCCCTGTTTTATTTGACAAGATTAACCGCGAAATGAAATGCGGTTTCTTTTGAAAGCTCCAACAAGGGTCTTGTCAATGTTAAGGAAGGGTAGGTTCGTTATCGGAAAAGATAGTTATTGGAGATATTTCACGTTCTTTTCTCTTTGAAGCTTAAATTCTTTTCTTCGGGAAGCTGCTTTTTTAAATTGGTCGAATAGTTTTTATCTTTTATTTTTTTCTTCATTTAACGATGCACCGCGATTATATCGCAAATTTTTTATTCGACACATTTGATAAGTCAGTTAATTTCCATCAATTTCGGCGACATGTATCGCCGGTTGATGATAATTCGCTGCATGTGTTTTTATCGGATAATGAAAAACGAATTTCTATATATATATATATATATAGTATACGTTGAAGCGAAAATATACACTCCATTTAATTGAACGTTCTGATTTCGAATGAGTTATTCATATATGCGTGCATATACATGTATATACGTTTTATATATACGTAAGTGCGGTCTACTGCATGCGGTGGTGCATTGTGCATTCATGTCTTTGTCGAAAGATACATTTCAGTCGCGTATTCCAGAAGAAAATATCAATTCATGTAAAACTCTCTATATAAATACGAGAAAACGTCTAATGACGATTATAAATTGGTACAATACTATATATGTATTCACAATGTACGAAGCAAATATTGATTTACATTTTGCGCATAAATAAACGTTAATAGTTGGACGCGATGCACAAATAGTATCCGTACAATGTTAATCGAACGAAAATTTAACTGAATCAATAAATAGAAATTTGGTTTGAAGACGAGAAATGTTTAATTTTGAAGTTTGCGTGTTGTAAAATTCCTCGATCGTGCCGTTGGAAAACCCGGGGAGGAGAAACGGTCTATTCTTTGATCGCGAACGGTCGTTTGGAGGCCTTTGACCCGCGGCCTTTGGTCCGCAGATCCCTGTATGCGGCTCACGTGCGTGCATCGCGCACGTGCCGGTGATTATGCAACGAGGGTGCAGCGTAAATTCGCCGTAATTCCACGAAAATACCGGTGTCGGCACCGACAAGCAGCGTGAGAGAGGTGAGCGTGCGCCACAAGAGTTGAAGTGAGCAACGTCGAGGAAAAAGAGAAATATGTGCAGAGAGCGTAAGAGAGAGAGAGAGAGAGAGAGAGAGAAAGAGAGAGAAAGAAAGATAAGATGGTTGAAGAGAACGACAGAGACGGTGGACCACCCGAAATATCCGCGTGTTTCGTGACAAGTGGAACAGTATTAAACACATGCCTGGCCAATCGGAATTGTCAAACCTCGCGAAATAGCATCCCTCGGATGCTTAATAGCTTTAAGCATGTTACATGTAACGTATATGTTAGTTGTAATTTCCCACTCATAGATGTAACATTTTTAATATTACGTATATTACATTGTAGTTACATTGTCATTATATCCCAAGATAGCGCTGACTTATCAATACATCAATGTGGTATTTGGTATATAATTACAATATAACTACAATGTAATATATGTTATATTAAAATGTTACATCTATGAGTGGGAAATTACAACTAACATGGATGTTACATGTAACGTACACGTTACATTACCTGTTATATTTCGTTTTATTATAGCAATGTAACAATTATATATCGATGTTTGCTGGGATATTATACCCAGCAAACACAGTATATAAATGTTATATACTTAAGCATGTTACATGTAACGTATATGTTAGTTGTAATTTCCCACTCATAGATGTAACATTTTTAATATTACGTATATTACATTGTAGTTACATTGTCATTATATCCCAAGATAGCACTGACTTATCAATACATCAATGTGGTATTTGGTATATAATTACAATATAACTACAATGTAATATATGTTATATTAAAATGTTACACATCTATGAGTGGGAAATTACAACTAACATGGATGTTACATGTAACGTACACGTTACATCACCTGTTATATTCCGTTTTATCATAACAATTATATATCGGTGTTTGCTGGGAGAGTATAGCGTCACTCGGCCGACCTGACATTTGCGAGCGTGCGTCCGAAGAGAGAATGAGAAACGGTCCACGGGAACCGTGTGACGAAGTTCTCTATACTTGGGAGAGAGAGAGCGAAAGCGTGAAAATTGCCTCGACTATTTCTAATTTCGGAGTAGCGTCATATAGCGTGAGCGTGAGAGACGCGTCTCGAGTTCGTCTTCTTCTTCTCGTCCGCGCGCGCGTCACACGCTCTTACAAGGTTTCTCTCCAGGAGATTCACCGTTCCGCTTCCCTTCACGGGTGCACGCGCACCCATTTCGCCGTCTCGTCATCTTCATCGCGCGCAGCCCTACACCCGTCTTTCCCGACTTCCCCGTCGTCGCGCTCTACGTATATAACGTATATAACGTCGCACGCAGCATTCGCACGCGCGATTGGGATAACGCGAGAGAAGGATGGAATGGGATAACTCCAGGGTGGAAAAAAGGGAAATTATCCGAAATCTATTCGTGTTAGAGAGAACAAAAATGCGAGAGAGGCGCAACGTCACGCAGACCCGAAAACGAGAGCGCGAGACAGCGACGGAGAAAGAGATAGAGATAGATAGATAGAGAGAGAGAGTGAGTGAAGGGGATGCAGACAGAAAGAGACAGACAGGAAAGAGACGGCGCGCCGCCGGTGCGAACGAAAATTGTCCGGTCGCCGCGTGCGGTTTTCACGCGGAAACACGTCTTACCTGCTTCACTAGCGGGAGTAGTGTCTGTTCTATGCTACGGGTCTTAATCTCTAGGGTGGCTGGGTCTACGGGGTCGGGTGTCGCCATGATTCGAACACAACTCCGTGCTCCGTAGACTCGAGCCGAGGCGAGAGGGTTCGTTGCACCCCTCCTACCCCCGCCCGCGTGCCCGGCACGACTGCCACCCTCGTCCCCGCCGCTGCTGGCCACCGGATGTTTACCCCCACCCTACAGCCCAGCCCCAATGGTCGAACCCCGTGCCGGTATACCTCTGTGACGAGGGCGACGTCGCGCGACGACGACGACGACGCCGACGCAACTACCGTCGTCGGCCGCGCCGGTCGTCGTGTCGGAGCGTTGGGCGTCGCGACGCCGCGACCCCTAGCCATCTCTCGGTTCCGCCTGCAACGCTCATCGTCGACACCCCCAACCTTGACGGCCGCCAGTAAGCCGGAATCCAATATGGAAAAAATAGTATTCTTGAAAGAATGCAAATATGCCTTGATTTAGGTATATTTTATTCTTATAATTTATTTCAAAATTAATTATTGTTTTATTTAGCATTCTTTTTTTTTTAATTTTCTTTGAATAGTATAAAATGTATTTTAATAGAATTTCTGTTATGAATTTAGCGACTTGTGTTGCTTTCACACAATAACTGATTTTGAAATTGTGCGCGAAATAGTGCAGAGAGTAGTCTAGCTTGAGAAAGTCTTGTCACGTCGCGGTCGAAAATGCGACGTATATCTAACTAATATTACGTAATATTACGCGAAATAACGTTTCAAAAAAATTGTCTTATTTCACCTTTGAAAAATTATGTTTAGAGAGAAAAAGATCTACAGTGAAGCTTTTTAAATGGAGGTCAAATATCAGTATTCCGCATCATTTTTGCGTTCGCAGCCATCAGAGTAAGAATTAATTTGAGAGTAGATCGCAGATTAGGGTTAATTGGATTGGTTGAAGAAAACTATTTCGGAAAAATTCTGTCTTATATATACTTTCTACGTTTTGCTCACCGTTTACTGTCATCATTTCGATTAGTAGTCAATATACGTGCACAGAAAAAACAGCATCCTTGAAAGAATGCAAATATGCCTTGATTCAAGTATATTTTATCCTTATAATAGCGCCAAATATAAATAATTTTGGATAAAGGATAATTTATCCTTAAAACAAAGTGCAAAATTAAAATTAGTTATAAAGTATTAGGTATAAAGTAAAAGTTAAAACAAGAATATATCTAAAGGATAAAATATACTTTACACAAACTTATTTATTATTAAGGCAAATGAAAATTTGTGATTACAAAGAGCATTCTATGCTTAAATCAATCAAATAGCGTTCGAGAATAAAAATATACTTGAATCAAGGATTCCTTTTTTTCTGTGAAAGTGAGACCGAACACGCGGCCTAAATTGGTCGATAATAAGCTTGATGAACCCTTGCTTCGACCACGTTCTCTTGCCGTTAGTGGTAGTTTAGTGTTTAGCGCGCCAACTCGCGTTTTTCAGGAACTGATGCTTCAATTAGTCGACCCACGATGGGGCCGATTTCTCTTGTCTATAAAGTAGATTCATTAAATTCTGAGAAAAGGAAAAATACAAAAAAACTCCGCCGAAATGAGCCTCGTGTTCGTTGCGGGAAATAAATTTAACTAGAGGCTGATTTATGGGGTAGATCCTCTTTAAATGAATTAGAAATTTATGACTGAACCGGTATCGAAACACTCTACTTGTTGATAAATAATTCAGTCATATATAACTATTTAATATAAGCATAGTTTATTTTCTTCTCTCTACAGCAATAATAAACGCTTACGACTTGAATAAAGCTAGACATGACTAGTACTAGACGCGTGCTAACTCTTGTACATATTTTTGTAACAAGGGATAAGACGTAAATTATATTAGAGAATTTTTTAAAAATATTCTGTCTCATAATACAATTTGTTGAACATGTTTCCGCATTAAAATATAACACTTTGCAGCATATAAATACGTTTATGATAAAACTAGCGATCTCTACTAAGCATTCGATATGAGACGAGTATCTTTTCAAAATGGACCAATTGTGAAATATTTCGTTCTTACTATTACACGACATTATTCAATGCGATTGCATATCGTGATTAAGTCTAAAGAAAACTGTTCAGACTTTAAAATCACGCAACAACTTTACACAGTACACAATATTGCACTTTTATACGAAAAGGAAAAAAAATATATATATTTATATGTAAATGTGGAACTCTTTCTTTATCTTCTCTACATTTAAAAGGATCGAGCAATTCCATGCCACGAATGCATTATAATATATATTGCTGCATGTAAAGTACTAATATTTCCGTTGGGGATTATTTGCATCTTATGTATAATTCGCGTGTTATGCTAGATATTGCATCGAATCTCGCATGCATATATTGTATATTATCCTACTTCTGGTTCAATAATAATGTATTATCGAAATTATACTCTACGCGCATTGCATTTATATATTATTCAACTATTATTTTCTATATATTATAACAAGATCTAAATTACATTTTTTTTCATGGCAATAATAATGCAACTTCTCTTAACTTGTATATACATGACGAGAGGAGGTTGAACAAAAGAAATTTTCTATATTTTACAGTTAGTTAATCACGATTTATACGTTGGATGATGTTCATTCATCTTTCGCAAAGTCAAATATCTCTCGGGGAAAAAAAAACGAATACTGTTCTATTGAATAATACAAAATAACATCACTTCTTTCCGTTAACCAGTCTATTCTGGGCCGGTGCCAACGGCGCTCTTCTCTTAACGTGTTTCTCTGGAACTTTGTCTTTCGGCAGTGACACTCCGTTAGAAACGAGTCCTCCTTTCCTCTTTCTTAAGGATTCTGTCGGAAGATATTCGGTCGGTCTTAGCAGCTGTCTGAAATTGTAAGGGCCATTAATGTCCTCCGTATCGACCTTGGTGTTCTCCTGTCGTTTCTCGATCACAGTCGGCCTTAAAAGTTGTCTGAGATTTGCGGCGATATTGAAATTGTCCTTTTGGAGTTGTTTCTGGTCCGTGGATTTTCCATTTGCTAACCGATTAATACCATTCTTACGATTCACATTGTTTTGATGATTTTTCATTGGGTAACCATTCTGCTTATGATGATCCGATCGATCCGACGACTTTTCCGTCTTGTTTTGACTCGATAAACCGTTGGTTAACTGCTCTGTATTCAAGATCTTTATTTGATTCGTTGCAACGTTATCATTATTTATTTTAGAGGGATGTTGGTAATTACAGTCGTTAATCGACGTATGGCGCTCGTTAACAAAATTATGGTTAACAAGATTCTGTCCATTAAGGGCATTATGTTGTTCGTTTACGGTATTGCATCGATTGTCGATTGCGATTCGTAGGCCAGATGGATCGTGGATATGCGAAGAACCGATTGCGCGTTGTTCATTTGCGGATGATTGCAGATTGTGGTTATGCAGTTCATTAATCCTTGTACTGGAAAAAAGACGTTTTTTTTTTAAATTCCATTTTTTTATAGAAAAAAACTTAAAAGGAAGATTATAATATAAATTTTGTTTAAAAGGAAGATATTTAAGAAGGATTAAAACTTTCTCGAAGGGAAAATGTTTAAGAGGGATTAATACTTTTTGTTGTTTTCTCGGTTATAAATAATTAAGCATTAAGTTGGTACTAAGCATGAGCATTAATAACTCGCGAGTTTTATGAAAGTATAAAAAACGAGCTCTACAAGTTGAACAAAACTATTAAGTGGACACGTATTCAAGTTCTCTGACAACGGTATAAATTTATGAGTTTACCTGGAAATTTGCCATGATGTTTCTGGCAACGCGTAGACATAAATGCAAAGGATTAGTTGTTAGATATATTCATTTAAATATAATGCAGTCATAGTATTAGAATTGAATAGATTATAGTATTAGAGTTGAAACACATTTAATGCGACATTTATAAAGTGTACGCTGTTTAATTCAAACAACTCAATTTGCTTTATACGTCTCGAATAATTTAATAAGAAGGAAATAAATTGCATTAAATTCTTTGCGCAAGATTTAACTAAAATAAACTGAACAGAGAATGCGTTAGTAAAAAGAATAACATGCGCGCGGCGCAATTCTTACTTGACACTTTTCTTGGAGCTCTCGTTCTCGCGTTGATCGGATGGATGTCTCAGGGCTTTGTGCCAAATGTTTGACAGATGTTGCTCCGGCGCTACTACAAAATCGCCCTGAGCTGCGCGATCTCGTCTCTCGGCATTTACATCCAGAATCTGGCCACTTCGCTTCCTATATAAACCAGGGTAATCTCATTATATCTCGATATAGATTGTATGTATAATCGTAGCATCGGTGTGAAGCGCAGTAGCTATATACGATGGAAGAAACTTTTGAATATCAATATATGCGCAAAACGATGCGTATAATATAATAGTTAAATTGTTCAAGCATATAATAGCTAAAATAAAAGTGGATAGAAATAAAAAATTAATTAAATTCGATTTGGAAAATTTTTGTGGTGAAACTTTTTAATTTTGCCAGAAACTATAAAAACAAGCATTCGCGCTCGGAAATTTCTACAATTCAAAATTCAGGCATATATACTTGGGGATATTCTCTGAATGAAATGCCTGTTTCAATAACGGTGAAAATACTATATATAACTAGCGCCAAAATAAACTAGTAGTTCTCATACGGATACGATCGACCAAATTTACGATATACCTCGACAATGTGTGAAGGTCATTTTCTAGCTGTATCAACGGTAAGTCCCAGCCAACTTCGTCGTCTTCGAATTCCGAACCACTTGCGATGCGAGTGCCAGAAGCATTCGAAAATTGAATATGTAAATTTCCGGTTCGTTCACGACGCTCAGTCGAAGCAAAGAAGACGACGGCTTTTGATTTGCATACATATATATATATATATATATATATATATATATATGTATATATGTGTACATATATATCTACCTGCTCATTTCTTCCTTTAGATCTCGATAATACTTGACGCTGTCCTCCTCATCCGGCTGCGTTCCAGTACGATAATGCAAGATTGGCTGTACCATATTAAATCCCTCGGGCCGAATATAATCCAAAGGCGGTTCCTCGATGTCGCTTAATCTGACACCGGGCTTGTTGCGACGCAGATTTTTGTGCACTTCTTGATTTTTCATGTGTACCTAGCGGGATAGGAAGATTGCATATAAATAACGTCTAATGACTTAATCAAATTAATGGTCGTCGACGACGTTAATATGGTTTCTGTGTAAAATAAAGAGATTACAGCTAACCTTGAATAAAATACTTGTTAGATAAATTAATTGATAAAGCGTATTTTATAAAGCCAGTGATTTTAATTACATTTTGAGAGAACTGAATTAGATCCGCTTGTCGTAATTTAGGATGTATGGGATCTTTCGGGAGCGGTTTCTTTTTGGCGATTCTCTCCTCCTTTTTGTACCATCTTTGAACGATAAGAGCTGCGTCTTCGTGTTTTAATCCTTCGCGCAATAACGCCTTGTGGCCGTCGTATATGTTGTCGTAATTGTTTAAAATCCTCTTGAAACGTTCCTCCAGTTCGTATCCAAAGCGTTTGCGGATGGTATAGCCTCGAAAATCTAAAAATCAGTTCAATTATGTACGACATTTAGAATCGCCCGATTAGAGATTAGCAAACCGCAATTTTTATAATACATACGACTTTGTATGATAATCGCGGCGTCATCCTTTTTCAGATTTTTACATACTTGTTGTTTCTCGCGATTATTGATCTCCATATTTTCCGCTTTATATTTTGTTTCATCTACGAAAGAGAATTAAAATAAACGGAGGTCTATAAATAATTATGCAACTATTTGGAAAATCGAGAGATGAGAAATTAAACTCACTCGCCATAAAATCGAACGTTGTACTTTCTTCCTTCGAGCGTTTTTCAGCCATCATTTCTTTCGTTCGTTTTCGGGATAACCAGCCTCGGATATGGCGTTGTAACGTTACAACGGACACAGCGAATTGCCACTTTTGTTTTTTAAATCTTATCTTTGCGAGCCATCGTCGAACGCACGCTTGGACCATAATGATTTTTCTCAGTTGTTCCTCGTACTGCTTTGAAAGGAATTCGACGTGATAATATTTTAGGAAGACTTTCGTCTTGCCCAACGCCCATCCGTCCATTTTTAAGCGTATCAGAAGAAGTCGACAATTATCCCGACTGGCAATCACGCGTTCGTCGTAGCCGAAAGCGAGGAAGCAATATCTATAGAATTTATAGAGTGAAAACATTTTGCATTTTCTTTTTGTTCAAAACTCGAAACTTACCTTTTAAGAAATTCGTTGAATGGTATTCTATGAGAAAATCCGTTTTGTCGTATACGTATCGTTTCGAGGACACCGGTATATCTCAGCTGTTTCACGACCTTGTCCTTGTCGAAAAATCGCGGACTCCGCGAATCATTTGGCTTTATACATCGAACGAATTGAGGCGAGCCGGACACCATTTTTTGTAATAAATCCATCAGAGAGTATCGAAAGTATGTCGATACTGTCTGCTGAGCTCTGGATTGTGAGGCTAAACCTCGACTAGAATAACGTTCCTATACGTGACATTATTATGTCGTTAATATCTTAAAAAAATGGAACAACAAAATATCAATTCAACACACACATACACACGCACGCACATACTTTTGTGTTCTGGTTCGAGTGCGATTTTCGCGAGTCATTCTCCTGCAACGCCGAGTACAGGTTACCGGTTTTCGTGATCGGGCATTGGAACAGGAAACGAACCATGTCGTATTGCGACTGTCGTACCAGTTGAATGACTTCGGGCGGCAGGAAGTTTCTGTTCTTCTCGAGGAATCCTTCGGCTTGATACACGACACGTCCGGCAAAATGATGGATCGCGAAACAGACCGCGTCCGATTTGGGACGTACGTAGAACTTGGACTTGATGTTGTTGTGGAATTTTTCTGTCGGAGAAATAGCAAAATATCCGATAAAACTACTCATAAATTCCAAATATATGTAAATAAATACGCTATTAATCGGAGTTTATTAAAGTTTAATTATTTATTTAGAGAAATGGAATTGTAAATATATATCTAGATGAAATAATTCCTGCTTCTGACGCAGTAGAGCGCGAATGTAATTTCTCTCATAATGCATCTAGATTGCTCACCGATCAGGGATCGATTAGTTGCTCTGGGAAATCGACTCTCTTCGTCCAGGAGCGCCAAGAGTCCCATGGGCTTGCTAAGTAACATGTCGAGAACCGGCCTGTTGTCGGAGAACTCGACGAGATCCACGGGTATTCCCTCGGCCATGTATTCCTGTTGCTCCCAAGTGAAGATATGTTGATTGAAGTAGTATTGTATCTGCTCGTTGGCGATGTTGATGCAGAGCTGCTCGAACGAGTTTCTGGGAAAGTTCTCGAAGCCGAAGATGTCGAGCAGCCCGATCGCCAACGGCTCGTAATTCGGCGAGCGGCTGAAGCACAGCAAACAATTGATCTGGTTGACCATCCAATCGAAGAGTCGACCGTAGAGACCCTTGGCCATTGCGTCGCGAGCCGCACGAGCCTCGGCAACCGTATTGTTCCGCGTAATTGTCTCGCCTCTGGTCATTACCGAGTTTGATGTCAGGGCCTCCAGGAGATCGTTTTGTTCGACGCCGAGTAGTTTCGAGACTGAAAGCGGAGTGCTTTTATTATCGGACCGGGCAATCGACCGTGATATTCTTATATGGAGAGTCATTAATGCCAGTAAATGGAAGAGTTTTATCGGTTACATTTCTAATTATCGTATCGTAATTAATAATCAATCAAAGAGAGAGAGAGAGAGAGAGAGAGAGAGATGTGAAAGAAATTTTACCTCTGTGTAACGGAATAGTGTCGATGACTCGGCTCTTATTGTCGGTATTATCTTGACTTGCCACCTCAGCGAATTCAATGTCACCCAGATGGAGTATAGCGGCTAAAACTCGATACACCGTGTCTACCTCGCTGTCCTGAAACCCGAGCACCTTGAAACCCATCTTGAGTTGCTGGAATTTGTCGATGTGCGTCTGCGACGTGTGACTGTAATGCGTGAGATATCGATGATACCTTCGAAGCGTAGGATCGAGATAAAATTCCGAGAGGCGATTGTCCGCCTCCAAACCGTCGTACATATAATAGAAGACGTGAAAGTTTCGCTCTCCCCTGAAAAGTAGCAAAATTTCCGCTCGTTGGTTAATTAAACTCTCCATTACATATGTAATATAGATATAGATTTTATGGGCAGTTTTTTTTTCAAAAACTTACTCGGCTTGAGCGATCACACGTGATTGCTCCAACAGATATACCGCGATTCTCGCACCGGTCACCTTTCCGCCCTTCGTCATTGTCAGATCCAGATACTTGCCAAATCTCGAGGAATTTGCGTTTATACCAGTCGTGGCGTTTCCGAAAGCCTCCATTATAGGATTTATCTGAAGTATCCTCTCCTCGAGGTTGCGATTTGGCGCCTTGCTGAGGTATACAAGCTGTTTCAGTAATAAATTCGCGCTCTCCGTCTTTCCGGCGCCTGATTCACCGCTAATAACTATCGCCTGATTCTGACGTTGATGAAGCAGTGCTTGATACGCGGCATCGGCGACCGCGAATATATGCGGAGGATTATCCGATCTCGCTTGACCTTTGTATCGTTTTTGCTCCTAAGAGGAATAATAAAAAACATTATTTATTTTATTTATTAATATTAAAAAATATATAATTAATCTTAATAACAAAATAATCATAGTTTTATTCTTCTTTGTTTGTAAAGATAAACCAGACTGTGATATAATGATAATAATTATATTAATTATTCATATTTGTTAATATTATAATAATTATTAATATCTGTTGTATTAATATTAATATAAATGAATTATTAATTCTTATGCCACATCACACGGTTTGATTTATCTATATTTTAATACAGTCATTCGTTTATATAAGTAAAATATACTTACAATACCGGTGTATAAGCCGAGATTAGTGAAAGGATTAACGGCAACCAGTATATCGCCGATGTATGTGTATATCTGCGTTTGCTCGTATCGGTGCTGCAATTGATCGACAATAGCTTCTTCCGACAGCATGTCGAGTGCCGCGAGATCGTCCATGTACATCTTCTCCGGTCTCGTCTTGCGGTCCGTCTTCAATTTGCCGTGTTTCGTAGTCACTTCGGGCTGCCGATGTACTCGACCCTCCGCTCTCTGTCTACGTATCTCTTCTCTCAATTGCTCCCTGATCTTCCCCACGATCGGCTCCACGTTCGACAATAGCGGATGCTCCTTCAATTCGCTCGCGAACGGCCGATGCTCGAGATCCTTCACCAAGCATTCGGCTATGAAATCCTTCAGTTCCGGCGAGTAGATGTCCGGATTCTTCAGGGAGGGCGGAGGATTTCTCGGAATTTGAAAGAGCGCTCGCATGGGATGCAATTCCGACAATGGAGGGTCACCCTCGGCTAATTCGATGGCGGTGATACCGATCGACCAGACATCGCAACGCGAATCGTACGAGGAGTCCAATTGCTGCTCGCAAGCTATCACCTGTTTTTTTTTACATAATTGAACAAAAATTTTGAAAACAATTGAGACAATTTTGTATTGAAAAAAATATATATTTCTTTGTCGAAAGATTTTTCTCGCTTGACCCAAGGTGGATGTAGGTTGCTCGATGCATTATTCTCTCTTTCTTGACACTTCAATTTATTAGAAAATTTTCACTTCCGATGGCAATGAACTCCTCGACTCACCTCTGGCGCCATCCAGTACGGTGTCCCGACAGATGTGTTTTTCCTGGCGAGAGTCGCGGCCAGATGCGAGGACACGCCGAAATCGACCAATTTGACACGCGCTTCTTCGGTGAGCAGGATGTTGTGACCCTTCACGTCACGATGCATGCAGTGATTGCTGTGCAAAAAGATCAGAGCCTCCACGGTTTCCTTCAAGATGTAAGCTATTTGGTCGTCCGTTAGACGAATGCCGCGTTTTTTCACACCCTGCACGAGATCGGTCACGGAGCCTCCGGTGCACAGCTGAAACCGAAGCAATTAATTCTTTACATATCTATTTCCGCTTCCTTTTGGGAAAAACCTGACAAATTAATTTACGGAAATTATAGATATGTATAGATGCTATTAGAAAGTACGATTTTTTTAAAGAAGATGTTTCATATGTGTATATGTATTTAGCAATTTGTGTACGAAGCATATGGTCTGACATTTATTACAACTAATTACAAGCGGTAGTAATTAAAGCCTTCCGGGTAATAATTTTCTATCTTTAGCTATTTTCATTATATCAGGTATTTATACGTAAATTTTATATTCCTTTTGCTATAGATTAATTTGATCGCTTAATTTAACGACGATACCTCCATCACGAACCATAATTGGTCCTCTTCCTGACCAGGCTTTGCACGCTTTAGAAACAAACCATGGAAGAGAGGAATGTTCGGGTGTAGGCTCAGATCTCTCAGCACCAGATACTCTTCCTCGATTTCCTCGATATTGTCGGCGACGTTCTCCAATATTTTCACGGCTACCTTGTTACCAGTTTCTTTATCGTAAGCGGCGTACACCTCGCCATAAGTACCCTCGCCGATCAATTCTTCCAATCGAAAACGTTCACCGGGATCCGGCACCACGTCGAAATTGACATGTTGACTGAGGCCGTGATACGCCATGTTGGTCCCACCTCCGGTCATTTCTGTACATAACCGATGTTAAATCGTTCGTATCGAACGAGAAGAGGACCAGCAAAGAGAATAATAGCGCCGATCGAATATATCGAGTATATTTATTTACTTTCGTTTTTTTCACTTTTAATTATTAAAATTTATAATGTCAAAATGTAAATGTGTATAATTAATATAGTGTTTAAGATAAGTTTAAGAGTAATTTAAAATTATCGTCTTCAACATTCAAATTGGGTACAGCAACGTTTAAAATATCTTAACGGTATTCGATTACTTTAAAGAGATTACTTATGCGACGACATTTCTATTTATTTCTTTTTCCCATTAAGCGGGACACTTTTTGCGAGAGATATGCGTTAAAGTGCATTGGAGAAAGTTTTATCGCAGTCGAAACGTTTTGTGATAATTGCACAGCATCTGTCAAAGTTACTGACCGGTTTCCTTCATCGTTGCTTTTTTTGTTCCTCGAAAGTTTAAAATTAAACAAAAAATTTGGGTACCTTATCGAACTAGGAAGGTCTCGATGGACGTTGTTAGTTCAACCAGCTGCGACACACTGCTTAGAGGCGTTCGTTTTCCAACTGGATACCCGTTAAACTCCTTAATAGTATTAGACTCTGGTTAGACCGGCGCACTTCTGCCTTGTTTCAGAAACAGATCTGCCAAGAAAAATACGCCTTATTTAACTTTCCTTCGTAAGACTGTATTGTATCGAAAGACTGATCGTGAATAAAACATTCGTGCAATACGATCATTAATTCGCGTGAATGCGTATAGAAAAGTAAGCTGCAGTAACATATCGAACTTTATTCTGATACATGTTCATTTTTTATCGCGATCTCTTACACATGAAAATTGCTTTCAGCGAGATTTACTTTGATAAATTTTGTCAATTAGAAATATCATCTTGCTTTCGAAACATCATATATCGAGTATTCAATTTTGCGTCGTGAAACAAATATTATGTGAGATTTAGTTGTCGTATTTTTATTGTTTTTTTTTATTTTGATCTCTCATTTGTTTCGCTATCGATTTTATTCAACTTACAAAACGAGGACACATTCCGAATAACGTTAATTTTGATGATGAAGTCCTACTCAATTGTGCGAAGCCGTGTAAAGGTCGAAACTTAGCTGTGGCTTCAGGCCACATTTTGTTTCTCTAAATTGGATGTGTGATTATAAACCGCAAATATAGGTAATAATTAAAGATACCATAAACTACTTCCTCCTTTTCTTTTTCCTCTTCAATTTCATAGTGAGCGAGATCTTTTCTTCTAGATTCCGGCATCTTTTACATTGATGACAGTGATAAGTCGAAACTATTCAGATATTCTCTCGATTACATTATAAAAACCGATTTTACTCGATGTTTGTTCGTGCATATCGGCGAAAGGATTTCTCTCAAAGTGCTTTGCAGCCCGCCTTACTAATTTTCGATGCGCTTAATTTCACTAGGTATGTAGATTGCACGTAGCGTGACTAGCCAAGAATGCATCTTAATTAAACACTATACGTCGACGTTAGACTATGTTTCATTAAAATTTTTAGTTGTAGTAATTATAAGTGATCGCCAATAAATGATTAATGATTGTGCGTGTGTATATCCATGCGTGTAGATTAGAAATAATTGTGAAAATTATGTTAAAATACGCGAAAAATCTCTTTTGCAACATGTATTTATAACAAAAATTACATATTTATCTCTAAAGTATATTTAAATAAAATAATTAAGTGTCGGGCGCACAAATGCGTGCAAAATACACACGTCTAAGTAACTCAACTTATATTTCTCTTTTGAGCAATATGTACCGTACGAATTATATATACGTTAAATATGTATGTCTATGTGTGTATATAATTATTTGATAAAATGATGGGAATCGTGTCAATGTGGCGTATTTATTAATTATTTGCACGTGCGTGAATCTGCGCATGTAATTATACGATTGCACTGGAACTTTGTGAGATTGCCAGTAAATACGTATACCGTAACAACGGTTTACACGCAAAAGTTGACGCTTGTGGAAACTCGTTCAGATACTTGGCACTAAAAATAATGCGCGCGACCGCAAACACGCGTTTATCGCGTTAAGAAACATGATATATCGAACGGATCATCGGAGTCGAATTAATAAGGCTATCTTCCGCATCACTGATTATCATGATTGATCGGGAAATCTCAATTTATTTAAATTGAATTATAATCGGTGATTTTCTTCGAAATATGTAGAATCTTGTTAGCGTAGATGATTCTTCTCTTCAATATGCTATCCCTAATATCGAAAGTTGTAAAACAATAGCTTATAATGATAAACTGTAATGGCGGAATATATGATGTAGACGGTAACATTTAAAGCGAAAGTAGTGAAATTTAATAATCATTTAAATTATTGGCAATATAATTATTATCCCCTCAACTAAATAATTTTAACATGATGTTTTAAGGAAAATCGATATCACACAATTTCTCACCTGCGAAAATATTTAATATTCGGTCAAGAAATTAATATTCTTGAGAAAAAGTTAAATTACATGATGTTATTCTCACGATTCAGTAATTTATTTCTGCGCGTGAATATTTTATTTTTTAAATACATCCAGTATCTTAAGATCTCACTTCTTCTACAAGATTTGTTGTAAAAAAAACTGAACTTTACTTTCTCGTACAATATGAATAAAGTAAAAAACAAAAAGGAAAAAATTGTATTTAGTCATGCTGGTAGTTTTGTTATTTAGAACGATCAGTCACCATAATCAATTTGGAATATGGTTCGCTCTTCAATTGTGTGTTTCTTCATCTATTTCACAGATCAATACTCTGTGATACTATAGACATTTTACTGTAATTTCTACGAAAGCATTGTCTTTACGCTCGCAAAAGATAGTTATCGTTTATGAGAAGATAGCTCATGAGACATTTCACCGTGAAAACACACGGTACAATTTTACGGTTCGATACCTTCGACAAAGGTATCAATTGCTCAGCAATAAGCAATCACGTATGTCCTGGATCACGTGTTCGCCGGGAGTATTAGAGCGAGGAAATCCGACATGAAATCGGTTTAAGGGTTCACCTATAAAGTAATGCTGTCGTGGACGACGCTTTTGATTAACATGATGTTAGAATCACGATTTCTTTGTGTTGTATCTGTGTGAAATTTTATCGCGAACATTTTATTTGCGTCCTTCTCGTACATATTCCATTAAATTTAGTGCGTTTTAAATACATCAATCGCGGCGATATCTATTCAAACTTTATTCGAAGACGTAAAAATCGTAATTTCTGAAGATGTACGATTATAGTAGAACAGGAACACTTATTTTCAGTTTGCAGCAATTTAACGCGGAACGGAATCTACGAGTGGAAAAGCGTAACAGTTTTTTTATTATTATATCTCTGAGAAGCTCTGCGATTTGTCTCCGATGAAATAATTACTCGAAAGGGAAAAATGCGTCTTAATATATATATAGCGATCAATTTCTTTTTCCAGTCTTTGCTCTACAAGTTATTTATTATGTGTTTCAGATATGCTTTTTCCACGAGGAAAACTTTTCCATCATCGGCTGTCAACTCTCGGTGAGTGCACACTTTATATTATTTATATGAAACATTTCTCAGAAAGAAAATAGAAAGAATTAAAGACGTCGAGTACGCTTCAAAGATTAAGTATTCGTAGTTCCGCTTTCGTGATTTGTATTAATGTCTCGACAAATCGGCTTGGAAAAAGATGAAGAGGAAAATCGAGAAAGAGAAAGAGAGGAATTTTTTTACTCACGGCGTAATTTCTCGCAGGTTTGCTTTTAGCACGGTTGTATGTCAAACTGTTGTGAACGCAAAAGGACGGAAGTTTTTCCCGATTATAGTACGTATGTACATACGTAGTTAGAGCCGCGGTTCCGCTGGTTTAATCCTCTCAGCGTGACGATGTAACGGTACAATGCGTGCCATCAATGACCACATCACGCTGCGCTCCAGCGTAATGTCGAACGCAACGCCGGGAAAACATCGCATATATGTTAATTGTGGACAGAATAAAATAGAGAGACGAGGATATCATGGAAATCTCGCGCGCGATCGCGAAAAGTGTGTCGGCGCTCGTCGGCGTGTTTCGGAGAGGAGGATTTGGTGCCGCTACGCACGAAATCTGTGTGTATGCGCTAAAATTAATGAATGTATAAATAAATAATGTATTACGTGTGCCTAATAAGAGGACGCGTACACATTGATTCGGCGGTATTCTCTTCATGCAACGACTGCATAGAAAGTAAACGGGTGGTACATAGTCATGCAAGAATTTATTCTGCCGGGCTTTCAGCTTTCGATTCGATGGGTTATCGTTGCGAGACGAGAAACTCGATCATTCTCGATTATCACGGTTTTTTTTGTAGGGACGAATTGAGAAACTAATCCCGAGTTGATCTATGTCCGCGAAACTTTAAACGGTTTCGTATAAAAGTCTGAAATTTGGCGACTCCGTCTCGATGTCGAAACGTGTCTTTAGAAACTTGAGAATACGGCGAAGAGGTATTTTCGGATCAATTCCTCGACCAATTTATTCAAAACGGTAGATAAAAAGTGTGCAAATTTTTTTTGTTTGTGCGAAGAAATTAGATCGTCTAGAACAGCTTATAGTACTTATTCAACGAGCCATTGCCGGGAAAATCTTACAAAGGAGGTGAATGGTAAGATAGATGAGCGCAGTTTCTTTTAACGATCGAAATTTTCAAACGAACCACGAAGTATCGCTCTATTAACTATGCGTCCGTCATTGTTGAAACCTCCGTAAGAAAAAAAAAATCGAATCGCGGCAAGTTCGCGAGCGAAATGATTTTACGCCACAATAGACAAGTTGTGTAACGTGATGTATCGCGTGGAGATGTGTATAGTCGGCACCTTTTTAATAAGCCAAAACACGGTACGCGTAATCTAGCTTCTTTGTATGCAAATCAAGTTGCAGTATTTGCGACACAAAGCTGCGCTGCTTACCTATATCGTCAGAAATCCCGTCTGAAAAGAGGGTGTAACATCAAGGCGCAACATCAAGATATGAAAATGTAACCAGTATTTAGTTGTTGAATGGTGCCACTAGAATATATATTCTTATTCTTTCTTATGAAGGTCTAATACATTTTTTTTTATAAAAGGAAAATTATATTCTTCATCAACATTGTCATCCGATTTTGCTATTTATCAGTCTGAGTCGTATTCATGGTCTCCTTTGATCGTATCAGACAGGAAGCGAGACGTGCGTTTTATTTCACTCTGCCGTACGCGACGTGAGAATAAAGATAATTGCGACAGAAAGAAAGAGAGAGACGTATGTACATTGTATATCTGGAGCAAGGTGTATCTCGTAAAGCGAGCTTGGGAAGAAACGAGTCGTTCTTGGCGATTCAAGAGTCGATTCCCAGAATTTTTACCGTACCAACTATTTCTCTGGTTCGTATAAAAATAAAGATGAAGGATAAATCATCGTGCATGCGAGGCATAACTCTCCCATGCAATAGATGGACTTTCGTGACTTCCGGAGCTCGAAGTTGACATTGTTGCGCCGTAAACGATCGCGTGCCATATATATACATCGTTTTGGCGTTACGATACGCTAAAAAGTGACTCTCGCTTGGCACACTATGAGGTATATTAAAACGACCAGCGACCAAGGAAAAGGACGTTTCCATGTCGGGGGAAAAAGCGGCAAGTCTTTAGAGACCTGGCGAGGGAATAATTAGTTTTAGAAGAAAGTCAAACGCGACAGTCACAGAGTCGAGAAGATTTAGAGCCGAACGGCTGCGTCACAGATTATTAGCTTCAGTTTCTTTTCTTTCGCGCGTCGTCTCCTTTCTTTCGACTTCTCCGACTTTGTTTCTTTTATTTTATATAGTTACGTGTCGTTATTTTTCTCGCAAACTCGGATTCTCTCCTAATTGATCTGGCGATATCAAAAGCGCGACGAATTTTAACAATTTTGGAAATATGAATATAAATCTTTATTTACATAGAGTATTACATAGAGTATTAAAAAATAGCAGATATTTTTTTACATTGTGTAGATTTTTTGACGCGTGTGTGACATGTAAATTTAAAAATTAGTAAGATATTTTTGATATAAAAATTTTGATGTCATATCTGTTTATTTCTCGGATTTGTTTTTAGATTTAGTATGACACACTTTGCGTAACACGTTGAACTTACAATTACGAGATTATTTTTGCCGAGATTCCGGCAGCGAAATCGATCTTGCCGAGGAAATGGAAATGCACTTCCCGAGTGCAGCGGTGCGCGAGAAAAATAGTCATGTAACAGTATCCGTTGTTACATTGTACCGTACTGACTCTATTATTTTTACGATGCGTTTGTAATCTCTTTTTTTTCTCTCTCTCGTAATGCACGTAGGGAAAGTAACAAAAAATCTCACACGGAAGTTGAAATTGCAATATGAACGTTAAATATGAATATTAAAATAAAAATTATAAAAGAAATATAAATTAAAAAAAAGAAAATCAACAATACAAAAAGGAATTGAGCGCGGGAGTAATTATTTTTTATGTGATTCTCTGACGAAATTGCGTTTCCTGTAAAATGATCAAATCACGTTTCTTGCCAAACTTTTTCTAACACAATCATTTCCTTGCAATTGTAATCAACGCGTTTCATAGATTTTTCATTGTGTCATTAAATCGAAAGAACGTCTCGTGCGCATATATACGTACATCTATTTTGGAGTAAATTATTGTCGCGATCGTTTACGGTGCAATAATGTCAACCGAGCTCCGTCATCACAAAAGTTCATTTATTGCATGGGAATTGTGTTTCGCATACAATAAATTATTCTTCTTCCAAACTTTATCAGGAGTGCAAACAGCAAAAAATGTCATCAATATTCGTTAGTGCGACACTTGGTTAATTAAACTTTTTTTTCCAGAAATTTATTAAAAGTTAACCCATAAATTATGCGCTTCTTACCATATTTATATACAATTATGTCTCTATCTTTTATGATAATTAAGTTTGTTACTAAATAAATTACAAAAGTAAATTACCAATGTCTGATGAGACATGCGAGAAATTTAATTTGTCGAATATGAAATTATCCTTATCTCTGCTGCGGAACGGGAAAGCAACAATTATATACAGTATTCCATATATATGATGATGATTACAGACTAAAGGTTCTAGGAAGATATTGCTTCCTCGAAAGTTGCTCACATAACTCGCATGTAACAGATATTTGATTAGCCGTGTTACCTGCGCGCGGATGTGTTTGGTGAAGTACGCTCGGTTCATTTAATTATCTACCTGCGTACACCGCAATCTTGATTATACGCGTGCAATTTCGTAGATACGCGACAGCGCATGAAAGCAACAAAGTTTTCGCGACGCGACACTTGGCTAAACCTTCATTAAACCGATATCTCACTCGAAAGAGCGCGATATTTTAAAATTGTACACACGATTGGAAATTGGGGGCATCCGGTATAATAGAAAATAAATAGGCTTAGCGAAAACTCGAAATATAAACATGAATTCAGGTTCGAAGAATCGCTTGATAAGTGCACGAAGATGCAGACTGATCAGCAGACGAATTTATATATAGGGATAATACATGTTATTTTATGGGTTGGTGACGGAAGAGATCGTTTCTCGTGATTCACGACGAGACTCGCGTGATCAACGTTCGTATAACTGGTTCTCTCCTTCTCTCTTGCTCTCTCTCTCTCTCGCATCGGTGATTATCATCTCTTCGTAATATATCGATGGCACGCCCATATATGGCAACTTGCCGAGAAAGTTTTCGGCACCTGTACGATAGTCGCCCTTCGAACGAAAAAGTGTGTCCATGACCTGCCTTCCTTGCGTGTCGGGTTCAAGGTGCTCAGCACACACCTCGGTGCACGCTTAGAGGACACTCTCGTAAAGAGGACACTCGATTTCTCCGAATTTGTGAATTCTCTCTGTTCTCGATGAATAAAGAGCGATAACTAGCACGAAACAAAGTTCGAGTGTTTTTGATATAAAAGTGGTTTTCGCGTAGACCGCCGTTGTCTTATCGGCGCTAAGATAAATTTTTATGATTCATTATTGTTAGTCATTATTAGTGATGGAACGGATGACAGATGCTTGTAATACTGCCCTTCCTTGATAAGACTCTGAAGCAATAAAAGTTTTTTTTATTGCTTCAGGTTGGGTAAATCCAATTTAATGTCATTTGACGTCCGCTTTACATGTAATTGCATAATTTACGATTTGTTAGGATGTACATTTCGAAATATACGCATACCTTCATATTTATTATAATATAATTTGGCAATGTGTCATTATTTTTTATATTTAAAAAATGTTTATAATAATATTTAAAATATCTTTCTCTTTTGTACGTTATTTGACACAGAATATTTGGATTTCATTTAAACTGTTACATTAGAACGTGTAAAGTAAGACAGAACGAATATATAATGCAGAATGAAATATACTCATGTATAATTCAGCAACGATCGCGCATAATATGTGAATCACGATATAATCAGCATTATTGAAAATAGACAAGCTAGATAATTAGTAGCCTATAAGTAGTCTGATTTTTTCTTAATCTAATAAATAGTTCTTATTTATACGACATGCATGTTTGTTGTTTACGATCGTTCTTTATTGCTCAAGGATTAAGGTGTGATAATTAGCTTCAATTTTACTAATTAATCTTATCTTTTTCGTGTGCAATGTTTATATATACTTAAATTTTCAAGACATTTATAGTATTTAAAACGCATTTGCCAATTGTATAAATCATAACTTTATCACTTTAGAAAAGATGTAGATATATATGTACTTTCAATTATCTAAGTTTCGAAGCTTCTATTCAAACAAGAATAAGCTGTCACATCGTATAATTGAATGTACATATATTTACTACGTGTGATATGTATATTTACATATACATATATCTACACGTTTGAATATCTGTGTTTACATACACAATAATTATTAACATCGCAAATTTGCAAGTGTTGTCACTGCATACAATTTTCACTATTATTCTCAATTTTACATAAAAATTATTGATATCATTTCCACTTTTACAGGAAATTTATGTAGAAATATAAATTGATTGCCTTGAATAATTATGAATATTTGTATAGTATAACACTATATTGATACACGAATCTTTATCAACGATTAAAACCTAAAAAAGACATATGATCTTTTAAATGACGCTGAACATTACTCACGTGTTTCGATGACAAGATCCACAACAGAAAGATAAGAGACCTCAGTCTGTCACGATGAGAGTACGAGAAATGCAGCAGGCTAGGAATCGTCGGGATGACAGTCGCGATCGAGTCGTAAGTCCACTCATGGTGTATTAAGCACAAAGGGGAACGGTCGCGTTTTAGAATCGGCGTGATCACCGTGTGTTCACCATGTTACATCGCGCGACCAGCTGACTATAAAATGTACCGTGGAACAGTATCAACCGGAGTACGAGCGCGCGCGGCGTCTTCAACATTGACGCCGGCCGTATTCGAAGGAAACCGCGTCGGCAATCCCTCTCCATTCTCCGTTCTATCGTAGGTCTTCGTCCGCTCCGTGCTTCTTCTCTCTTCCGGAACACGTTCGATCTCCCCTCGTGCTCCATAATCGGGCACTGTCCGATCGAATTAATCCTTGGAATTTGCTCCGATATACTTGACCGTATTTTTAATCTCCATTATTTTTATTCAAACATTTTTTTATTGCTTTCAAGCATATAGTTTTTAGAACTATATGTATATGTTAATTGTTTCTTTTTTCTCATATGAATCATTTCAATGAATTTTATTTATAATAGTATCGTTTATTATACTTATTGAATTATTAGATTAATTATTCGTCATTTTAGTTTATTCTGATTTTTCGAGTTAATTAATAGAACTGAAATTAACCAAATTGAAAAGTAATTTAAACTTATATATATTTTTTTATACAAAAGAAACATTTTAAATATATGTGACTAATTTTAAAAATTGCGTATTCCATCTTTAAATTTACTATTAAAAATTTATAGCTTTAAGTATGTATGTACAGTCTTGCTGATTAGTCGTATCTTCCTTCGTATGATCGAAAGTCTGTTTCTGATTAAAAATTAATGTTCTCATCATGTGGCCTTATTGTTTGCCGTTGAACAACCGAAAGTGCGAAAAATTGGCGTACATGTTCGGAGAAGATTCCAAACGATCGCATATCCCTCATTAATCACTGAGAAAAGTGTTGTCCGATCGATTAGACATCGTTCGTATAATGCGATCGAGAACGGTCTCAGTGTTCGTTCTCATTTTGATTTACGCTCATTATCTTGTCTTTCAATACACGTGTTTCACAGGTGCTCCGTCTTGATCGTCTCTCGATCGATCTTAAAATTAGCTTTCACTTATCCTGTTATTCTTACATTACGATCTTGTTGGTCGATCGGTGTCGGAATCATAACACAATGACCATGGAATAGTATGAGAAATCATTTCAAACTCTAAATGGAATTCATTTGTCGTACTGTGAAATCTTTTTTTCCCGCTTCTTGTTCTCACGACGCTTTAACCATATTTTTCGTCTTCATTTTTGTTATTATTCGTTGTTATAATTTCAAAAAATTACATTTAATTGCGTCGCGGAAATCATGTAACGGCCATTTATTATGTAATATACGTCTAGCATTATCGTAGTCTTTGTAAATAATGAGAAGGTCTTGGAATGACATAGTACTGTTTGAGAAAAGTGTTTCATTACCGCAATCTTTTGCTACTTTCTATCGCGAACATATGTGTGGGAATCAAAGCTGCAACTCTTAAAGAGAAAAGCAATTACGTTACAAATAAATATTGTGTAAGAATACTATGTATGTACATTTAGAAAAGAAACTCTTTACCTGTTGATAAATTGCGAATACATATTTATCGCTTTGTTCATTGAATGAACCGGTGTTGATGAGTTAAAAGGCACATTTTTGCGCTTTGTATTTCGTGTTTCAAGAAATCTTTTATCTTGCTTCTTATTTTTCTACCTAATCTAAGACGATAATCTCAGACGATACGTATATTTCAAGAAGCTGCCGATGATTATGATAAGAATTTTTTTGATCATTTCACGTCATATCTGATGATATGAGGATTATAATTCTTTATTCATATCTCATTATATCTCTGCTAAAGTAACTACAGTTCGCACGCTGTTTCTTTTCAAAGAAAAAAAAACTTGATAAAAAACTTGTATCAAAAACTTGAAATGAAAATAAGAAATTTGAAAAAATGTCTACGAACATAAAAATCTTATAGGATCGCTGTCGATGAAGAGGAAGCTCTTTCAGATATATAAAAAATATAGGCAATGTCATTAACGCAATAAGCTATCATTACTCATTTACGGTCCGAGTGTTGGATTTTTTGAAAGGTCGCGCGAAATACGGCGGATACGCGTTCATGGAAGCGTAGAAGCGCGGCCGATAAGCGAGATAAGCGTTCCTCTCCAGCCCGACGTCACAGTCGGATAAGTCGGAGCTCAACGATGCGTGATAAGTACTCGCTATGCCACTTTACTACTCACTCGTATTCCTCTCTCGTTGACATGCCAGGCTGTCGACGAATGTGCGTGTACGCAGATAACGAGCGATACACAGATACACACAGGCTGACATGAGTTGCAGAAAGTGACTACCTATTAATGACTCGACGGAAAGATGAAACGGTATCGATACATGTCTATATCGCGCAAGATCGATGTTTCGATAGTATTTGTAACAAAAAATATGATCAGTTATATAGATATCCATAAATGGACATCCGATCGAAATCCGTCTCTCGAAATCTGTCAGAAAGGAACTCCACTCCGAATCGGTTACCAACACTTACTGTTACCGTGTCGTGTCGAATGCAATTAGGTGAAATTTAATTACAACATTTAATTGCATGTTTACAAAGTTAGTCAACAACATTGTCTCTTTATATCGTTTAGCGGATTCAAAGTGGTTTCGAATGTTCCGACACAGACACGAGCAAATATTCGTCCGAATGAGTAATCAAGTTAGGATATTAAACTAAACGCAACATCGGTTTAATTGTAATTAAATTAAACATTTAATGTTATATAAATACGTTTTACGGGATAAATAAATTAAGCTATCGCACAGGATTAATATGTTAATAATAATATTTTAAATCATTTGTTTAAAGAGAAAGTTTGTAATATTTAATACGTTAAAATGGAATGTTGAATAAAATTGACAAATAATGTTTGTAATGATGCAAATTGTAATTATTCTATTTTTGTAAGTATATGTTACACGATAATACATCGGAAAAGCTGTTGAAATTTATTTGAAATATAATGAAAAAAATGCACAATCTAATTATACTGAAGAAAACAATAATTATTGTGCGTATTAAATTTGGTATATTCCACGTTTCATTTTCATACTTTTCGTTATCGAATAGCTATTTTGTAGATTGCTGATATTACAGAATGCTAACCAGCAAACGATAATACAATTTCAAAGAGAGTGAGAGTCAGAATGGAGTTTCTCTTGAAAGTGGGGTAAATGTTGGATTTGTTATGTTTGACAATTAAAAAGTGTCGGTACAATTCGCAAAACTTTGTATTTGTATAAATATAAAATATGTATTTTCAAACACAGATTGCAAGAATCGCTCCAAAAGATTTAGATACTTTCTTCTAACGTATCTTTTTATATTGGTCGATATTTGAGACTCATCGATTTTTTTCGATTACTCGGCTAAAACATTTTACACTTTTATTAGATGGAGCGAGGAGTCTGTCAAACACATATAAGAGAGTATACAGAAATCTAGTTTATCATTAATCGAGAATTGTTGAAGAACGCGCGCTTTTCAAGCTCACACCCATCTACATCAGTATAATGATCGCTTTTTTCTTCTAATTTTTTTTCCATAACAAAAATGAATCTACCTTTGATATATTTATTACAATCTTTTTTATTACATTTTTGAAAAAACTATTTTACTTTATTATTTCGTATCGAGAAAATATTTTATCATATTATTATAGTAATGAAACATTCATTCAAAGATATTTAACAAGTATTTTTAAACTTTTCTCTTTAAAGTATCGATTACGCGAATTAAAAATTTGTTTGAAATAATAATAATATATCATGAAAAAACTATGTGAGGATACGATCGGATAACATATCGCGTAACAAATTGAAACGCATTAAAGTGTCCATTAATAACATATGTAGACTTGAAATAAATCAGCTTTTGAAATTTTTCTGGTTTATATGCGGCACCGTAATGAAATGCGAAATATCATACGACTATGTCATTAGATTCGTTTCACGTTTGGGGGTGTCATCCGTTGTTCGGCAAACAGATTTAAGCCGAGCAAACGCATCGCTCACATTCGTTTGATCAAATAATCGTACGGTACAATTCGCGTCCATTAGCTTCCATTAAATATCATTAATCACGGTTATGAAAGTGACAGCTTCATTTAATAATTATCCGGGAGCGGTATTGGGGGATTTGTAGTTTCGTACTACGGCATGCTTAAAGCCGGCAAACAACGGACGCCATTGTTCTCGGTATTAGAGATTTACAGCAAAGAAAGTTTGTTTACCCGCGTTATAAGAGCCTTCATTGTTCCGTCATTAATTTCAGTAATTATTCTCGAAAATGTTGATCACACACCGCTTCGGTAGATAATTAGACGCTATTAATAATCGCGTTTCGATTTTCCATTTTATTCGAAAAGTTATCTCCTCTTCGACGTTCTTTCGCACTTTCAACTCGTGAACTCATTCCATTATGTCTTTTTCCATTTGTCGACGCGTATGCGATCTAAAATGCGTTCCCACTTTCGGATAATATAGTATCGAAGAGACCGATTCGAACTTTTTTCCAATCGATGGACACGCGAGCCGACAAACATCTGTCTTTGTTTGACTTATGTTGTAGTCGTAGATAAGATTGAAAGCCATCTGTTGCTAAAATATCAATCTTCCATCCGGGATCGCGTGTGTTATATATGTATATGTATTTTATATGCGGTGTCAACAAAATGTTCCGAGAGCATGGGCGTGTTATTTAACTTTACGTCAATCTATGAACTGAGCTTGCTTTTTATTGGCCTGTTTTTCCTATCCATCACACGCGCGAAACGCGCGGATTGTTTTCGAATAATATTTGCCGGCCAAGTTTTCTGCATTAGCCATTATGAATCGTATTATTGCCATCACGTGCCATGTCATCATTCTGATGCCAAGAGATTGCTCGACAATCGTCGCGT